ATGTGAAAGTTCCAGACACACAGCAGCCCCTGTGCAAAGCTGGCAGGGCAGCACAGTCAGAGCCTGCTAAAAAGAGCTTTTCGTGACAGACAGCCCTGAGGAGTGTTGGAAGAGGAAGTGCTCACTGAGACATCGAAAGCCATGAAGAGTCAAATGAAAAACAAGAAAGGAACTGTAAAATGACACATTCCTAAAGCTGTTTTCCTGGAATAGCAGTGCCTGTACCAGCAGCAGGGCAGGAGGGTTCTGGGGCAGCAACCCCAGAGCCAGGCAGAGCTTTTGCACAAAGAGGGAAGAATATTCCTAACACACACACTAAACTAAACCACAACTCCCATGGTTCTGCATAAACAAGGAAGAAACGTCAATTCCTGAAAGGGTTTTCTAAGGCACATTCGGGTAGTCGACAGTTTTGAGTATTAGTGATAAAACAGCCTTTCTCACCCAAAACAAATCCTGAGTTTCATGTTAGTACTCAAAAAGGAACTGCTGAGGAAAGCTCCAGCACATAAGAGCGCTCCCAGGATTTCTGAAAAGAGTGGAAACAGCCAGCTCTGGGAGCACACTTACCCACAGATACTGCAGGAACTTCAGCAGACGTGGACAGTAATAATACTCCATTTTCCACAGCTCCGAGTTAACGCCAACCCATCCCCGTTGCAGGCAGCTCCCGGGCTCTCCCCGCCTCCAGCACCAGTTAAAAGCAGAGTGGAGCAATTAAAAGCAGCATGAATAATGTAATAATGTTCTGAGTGTGTCTGGCCCCACGTCACCACCACCACCAGGAGCTGGGGCTCCTCAGGAGCAGTCGCTGAGCAGTCGCACACAGCACGTGACTTAACCACTTGTTATTGAGCAGCCCACTGCTCCCAGCTCCGTAATCTGGAGTGGAATTAGTGGCAGGACTTTGGGTTTTGCAGCAAAGGCCCTGCAGGAGGAAAGGGAAGCTCAAAAACCCCTCAGTTATGAAACGCTCTGAACGGCGGCGGGGTCGCTCGCTGACCTTGTTTTGGGTGATGCACAGGAAAAGACAAAAACCCACACATGTAACAAGAGGAGCTGCTGTTTTTATGTTCTTTCAATATAAAAATGTCTTTTGTGAAGGAGAAGAAATAGACACAACCAAGTAACTTTTTATACAGCCCTGGAATGTTCCCAGGGAACGAAAACTGCCAAAAAAGGAAGAAAGCCCAGGCAGAGCTTTACCCACCCCCGGGTCGTCCTCCTCGGGCTGGGTCCAAAATAGAGAGTGGTGGAGTTGTTGGACATCAGCAGTGGGTGGTTTGTGAAGAGTAAAAATGGGAATTGTAACACTGTTTCATTTTTACTTACATCCTTTTTTGATAGGAAAAGGAAAGATAAGTGACAGGAGCCTATCCAAGGAGGGCAGCCTGTCCCCTCCCAGCACTGCTCCAGCTCTCACCCTTCCCAGGGAGGGACAAGGCTGAGGTGATACAAAACAGCCTCCAAGATGCTCACTGAAATTTTGATACTTCAAGGAAACTACCTCTTCACTTTTCTAATCATCACCTATGAATTCCTGTACAGTTCAACCAAAGTATTTTGATTTTCTTCCAGGTTGTGTCAGTTTTTGGGGTAGCAGAACAACTCAAGATGGGGTTCAGAAGGAACAAAGCTCCAGTATCAGAGGCTTTACACAATGCAGAAAAAGAGAAGGTGTGGTTTTCAGTGGGCAGGAGACAGACCTGTCATGGGCAGAACTGAAAACAACTGGTGAACTGTGACAAGCCAAACCATAAATTCATCTGCACATGTTTATAAAATATTTATCTTCTCTCCCTTGCACTTCATTTCCAAGATATTTTAGGAGTCAGCTCATGATTTTCTTCAACAAATCCTTCTCCACCCACACATCTCAGTCTCATATAAATGCATGTTTCTATGGAGGCCATTAGGGAGATTTTCCTCCCTAAATGACAAAAAAACCCCAGACTTTAATATAAAATAAATAAATAATATGTTGAGAGACTTCAAAATAACTCCTACACCAGTTGTAGTAGCAGTGCTCTGTTCTAACTCCCCAAAGCAGCACTAAAGCTGCTCCATTTCCATCTGAAGGTGCAATTCCCCCAGCCTCACAGCACGAGTGCAGTTCCTTTATTTGGAGGATGAGTCCCAGCACACATTCCTCAGGTTTTCATTCCCAACACTGTTATCAGCCTGGATGACTCAATCAGGAATCCGGGCTTGTGACTGAACGTCAGCTCTGATGGCATCACACAATTTATGGAAACACCTCCTGAGCTCTGTGGCTGCCCCTGGATGGGCAGGTGGGGCACTGAGAGGGAACAGCCCCACATCCAACCACAGGTACCAGCCCAGAGAGGGTTTGATTGCTCAGAGCTCACATCTGTCCCTTCACCTGCATTCCAGGTCTAAAGGAAAAGATCCCTACAAGGCCCAGGCTCTGAGATTTGCAGCTGAACCAGTGAGAGAAATCCCTCACTGTCCAAAGCACAGAACTTAATTTTTATACCTACTCTGTGCTGCAGCAGGGCTAAAAGAGAGGGAAGTACCAGCCATAGTAAAACCACAGATGACAACAGTCTAGCAGTGATGCTAAAATCTTTATAAAAGCCTTCCTTTGTTTTTTAATCAATACAAACTTAAAATAGCTGAACAGTGTGATCTAGATGAGTGTTAAATCTCCAAAGTGTCATCCTGTGCAGTTTCAAACGCCAATCCCATATTACCACTTGTATTTTGCAACGGTTGATTTCAAAGTCATCCTATGTAATGTTCTAAAAGCCTAATTACAAGCAGATTCTCTGGAATATAATCACAAATAAATGACTTCTCCAGAGGTAAATTATACTACTGAGCCTTGCTTCCATTTGGAATTGTGTTTATCCATAAGAACCTAGCTCATCAGCTGTCCTGGAAAATGCCATTCAAGCAGTTGTTTACTACCACAGACAGATGTGGAATAATGCAACAAATTGATTCTTGCAAACTCATTTGGCAAATATAAAAGGCTATCAATATCAGTTCTTCACTGCTTTAGTGGGGAATGTGAACCAAAAAGAATTGTTTATTCTACAACAAGACTTGTCACTTTGAGCACTCAGTCTCACCAGACCAATACCAGTATACCCTCACTGACCAGCAATATGGACTGGAGAATGTATTTTGTCACTAAGCCACAAGGAAAAATAAGAAACATCCCAACCACACAGACCAGGAATTGCACAAAGCAAACAGCAGCACGATGCCACATTTCCATCTAATCTGCCTTTCAAGGGAAATTCAGACTGTGTTGGGATTCTGGGGAAATAGGGAATTTAACGGTGGCTCTTTCCTGACCCCTCGTGTCTGTCCAGCTCACACAGCTCGGATGTGTCTCCAGCAGAGGGGAGTGTTGGAACGTGCTGACAGAACCGGGAACTGCAGCTCCGCACCCAAAATCTCTGTGTTCTCCAAGGAAAACAAAGCCATAACCTTGGTGCAGAAGAAACGGTTTGGTTTTACATAATCCTCTGCAGTACCTCTGCGAGGCTTTGGAAAACATCAGTGTGGTGTGTTTTCCACCTTCCAAATGCAGTCAAAGCCCTTTCCATGCACTCACTCACACTTTACACCCAGGAGGAGCAGGCTGCCCTTTGGCTCCCCAGCACTGCACAACAATCCCAGCCCGAGGAGCCTTTCCAAAGCAACACAAAGGAGCAAAGCACTTGGATCCTCCTGAATTCCACACAGGTCAGCTTTCTCTTTCCATGGAGCTGAGTCTCCCTTTCCAACCTTCCCTTCCTGTCTCAGGCTACACTTGGTGAAGCTGAAGGATTATCCTGAGTAACCTCCCAATCAACAATGAAGTTGGAGAACAACAGCTGTATTTATCTGAGTACAGTTCAGTTATCCCAGCACTACTTCTGTCCCACTTTTCCTACCTGGCCAACACCACCTTTATATATTTGCACTATAAGCTGATGGCACATAACTTTTAGGGGTTGGGTAAATGCCCATTCTGTCAATAACCCAAATTGCCCAAGATGAACCATGCTAAGAATGAGAAAGAAAAAGGGACATCAGCCCCTGGATACCTTCAATGAAGCCTAAAGACTAGAACTGAAGAACAATCTGAGCCCACCTGCAAAACTCCAATTGGGAAATTTGTTTATAAAATCCTAATAGGTTTAGGTGTTCTCTTTTTCTTTGCTAGAAGGAAAGAAACCACTGAGTTTCTTTTCTTTTTTATATCTTTGTGTGTTCTCCACTAAAGAGCTGCAAAGAGCATTGTGAGCCATGGCAGAACAGGGCAGAGCAGCACCTCACTGCAGAGTGAGCTGGCAGAGACAGGACAGGGGAGGTGACCATGGGACAACATCCTTCAGTGTCCACTTTCCAAACCCTTTACTTCCCTCAGGAAACATTGATATTTCATTTATTGCCCATCTTTTGGAACATTCAGACCTTTGTTTCGTATTTCAGAACAACAGCTGGATGTAGGATGCTATTTCACAACATAAAACTTCTCTGAGGGCTAAAGTCAGGATATCCTTCTGAGACTGAGGAGAACAGCACCCAACAACATCAAGCAGGAATTCACCTCAACAATTTGTGTGTTAGAGACAAATCAAACCACCCAAAATGTCAGCTGTGATCTTTCCCAGAAACACTTCTCTGTGTGCTGCTGACAGAAAGACAATTAAACCCATCATTTCTGAGAGACACAGTTCTATTTGTCTGCACAAGCTGAGAAAACAACAAAAACCATAATGCTCTAGAGCCACCTTGAGTTCAGGATGGAAATTCTTCACTCAGAAAGCAAACTGAACAAGCTGCAAGGCTGAGGCTGGGTGTTGGCAGCTCTGCAGGGAGCAGTGGGGTGGGATCCCAGGGAGGGGAGCTTCACCAATTCAACCCTCAGCAAATGCTTCTCTGCTTGGCAGACACATCCTTCTAGCACAGCCCTTTGCAAAGAGGAAAACAGAGCTGCAGCTCCCTGATCCCACCCCAAACCCTCCTCCAGGGTCACATACCAAACCAAAATCTGATCTCCTCTCCTTGTAGAAACTGTGGTGGCTCCTCTGCGCAGACACTGAGGAAAAGTCTGTTCCCTCTGTTTTGTCCGAGCTCTGCTTGCTCCACTCTTTCCTGGGAGCCTGTAAAACACAGTTAGGAATGTGATTAAGTATACATGCATATGCACATACATATATTATATATATATAAAATGCCTTTTGGGAAAAAAAAAAACCAAAACCAGAGGAAACTCAAAGCTGAAAACACAAAATGGAAAAACATTATAGCCATGAACATCCTACACTTTAATCATAAAATTATAGGACCATTAAGGTCTTTTCCAACTAAATCCAACCTCTGGATTTCATTCACATGTCACTGTGTGAAGGGAATCTCTTGCCTTTCACCCAAGTCAGGAAAGCAGTGGAGTTAACTAATGGAGGCCATTCACTCAATAAAAATAAAATTTGCTTCTTTCAGATAAAGACAAAAAACAAAGAGAGATCCAAAAAGATCACTGCTGACAACTCATAAAATAGACCCAAATTACTTCTTTTCAAGTAAATATAAAATTGCAGAGTTAACAATTTGACCTCCCAGGTTCACAGCATTACAAAAATAATAAGCACACTTTTTAAACCTTTTTCAAGCTCTCCACAAAAACACCAATAAGTGTTTCTAGACTTGAAGCAATGAGGTCATCGCGTGCAATTGCCATTGCTCAAGAAAAGAGAACCCAAAAAGAAATGAACTCCAGTGAAAATCTGGATCTGCTGCCTTGCTGCAGAGTGCTGAGAAGTGCTGCAAGGACACAACAAAACCCTTAACAAAGACAAGCTCAGTTACAGCCACATGACACACTTGGCTACCATTTGAAAATACCTTTTTATCCTCATGGAAGAATGGCTCTGACTGAGCTGCCACCTTGTGTTTCCACGAGTTATCCACATTTTCCAAGGGGAAGCTTGGCCTGGATCGATGCAGGTCCTTCCTTGCCCTCAGATCCTGCATGAGGGGCAGGCTGTCCCTCCCCTGGCGGCATTTCTCCGAGTAGGATCGTCTGAGATCCGCGGGGACAGTCCCAAACCCAGACATGTACCCCTTCCAGTCAGCCCTACTTTTGAAAGAGTCACCCTCACACATTTTACTTGAGCTGTCCTTGCTTCTCAGTGTAGAGCTCCTCACGATGTTTTTGCTCCAATCGCCCTCTGGAGACACCTCCATGAATTGTTCTTTTGTCACCAACTTCTTCTGCAAGAGCCCATCATCAGCCTTTAGGGACAGCTTGGAGGCCAGACTGACTTCCAGCCTCTGCTCTGTGCTCACTGCATTTATGGGCTGTACCTTTTCAATTACAAATTTTGCACCCTGGTTTCTGGAGGTCAAGTTCACCTCCTCGTCCTCATCAACAATGAAAGTTTTCTTCCTAGCAAATTCCACAGGTGAATTTACAAACTTCTCTGGGAAAATGCTGCTGGGGTTTCCCCAGTAAGGAGGGCTGACCTTTCTGTCTTTGGACTTCTGCTTATCAAATTCAGGGCTCCGCAGTTCCAGTTTCTCTTTGCTCTTCTCATTTAGGATTAGTTTCTCCGGCCTGTGCTGCTCTTCTGCACGTTCACCTGGTTTGTTATTAACTGAATAGTGGTCTGATCCACTCTTCCACTCGTTCCAGCTGTAGGTAAGAGTCATCCTCTCCGACACATTTCTTTTGTTCTTTGATCTCTCCCAACTCAGTGAGCCGAGATCTTCAGAAAACTTCTCCTGAACTTTACTGGCCTTTGCTGATTCTTCTTTATATTCTGCCATAAGCGCATCAATGTCGAGAATTTGGGATCTGTAGCCATCCTCAGCCTTCCTCCCAGGCAGATCAGAATTATTGTCACTCCTTTTCTGGTGGCCCAGCTCACTGTCCTTACACACCTGTGCAGAACGTGGTGGGGATCGGGGCTCGTGGTAAGAGGAGATTTTCCTTCTGCCACTCTTGAGATCAGCCTGTTGATCCTGTTTTAACAGCAAAGCATCAACATCTATAATTTTCTCTTTAGAATGATCCAGACCTTTTTCGTGATGCTGTTGGTTATCTTTCCTAGACACGCGAAAATTACCAAATGCAACATTTTTGGAGAAGACAGCATCTTTTTCATCTTCTTTGACCCAATCCTTGCTAATACGTGCTTCCCAGGAGTCTTCTCTACAAGTTGAACTTGTCACATTTTTATTTGGTTGCTGCAATAAAGGTTTGGACCTTCCAGGAAAAACAGGGTCCAGATTAATTGCTGCTGCCTCGTTTGAACCAGAAACCATATTAATTTCACTTGCACTGGGAGCACCAACAAAGCTTTTCTCTTTTTTGATACCAGGAATCTGATAAGTCACTGCAAAATAAGTTGCCTTTGGCTCAAAGACAGAACTCTGATGTTTCGTGTAATCATCAGGAGTGCCAAGAACAGCTTGGTTAGCCTCACTCCCCTCCACCCCATCTTTGATATTTTTGCTTCTCTTTTTCAATAAATTTTCATTCAATTGCAATGAATCTGTCCGGCTCAGCTTCTTGATATTTTCAGGATTGAGCCACACAACTTCTTCCACCTTGAGTGACTCCTGAGGCAAGGTCCTCCTCCTCCACCTTTCAGAAATCTTCAAGTCAGAAACGCTACTTCTGCTTCTCCTGACTTTCTCTTCTGGATCTGCTCCTCGGAGTTTCTCGTTGTTTTCAGGAGCTGTACAAGCCAAGCTGAAGTCTTGCTCTTTGCAATTGAAGTCCAGACTTTTCCTCAGCCCAAAGGGCCCAGATTCCTCTTTAGTAACATTCAGTCCTTTTGCATCAGGGGGGTGGCTACTGGAAGATTTAAAATATTGCCCACTTGCCAGCACTGAAGCCTGAGCCCCGTGTTTATTGACACTTGTGGAAGTCACTTCACGATCCAAGTTGGTTCGGAATTCATGGATGTCTGTCCCACCTGCCCTGAAACTCCTTTTCTCAGAAGAGCATTTCACAACATTAATCCTCTCTGATTTCTCTACAGAAGACACTTCACTCTTATCACCTTTAATTTCAGCATGTAGCTTGCTGACTTTCTCACTCATTCCCAAACCTTTACTTTTGTTTGTGGAGTAAGGTGTTTTCTCAGCTATGAACAGTGGCTCAGGATCAGTTTTATCAGAGTCTCTTTTCTGTTCAGGTGAAGTGCATTCACTGGAGAGAAAACCAGCAGGTTCTCTCAACACAGCCTTGCTTGTGAGAACTTTTGCCTCTCTGGCTTCTGAAGTAACATTATCTTCTTTCAAGTAAAGAGTGTGACTACTTGTCTTAACCGACTGCCCTGTGGGTACAACGTCCTCATCAGTTTTATTCTCTTTCACAGATGATTTTCTAGTTCTGAGTGTCATGGCCTTTTTCTCAGGAGCCATTGTGATGGCTTCACTAAGAGCCCTTTCACCACAAGTCTGAAAGATTTCATACCTGGGCTCTATTCTTTGGTAAATTTGAGAATCTTCTGTAATTTTGGGAGCGGGTTTTTCACTCTTCTCAACCAAAGATTTTTCTAAGACAATTCCTGGATTCATTTTCTTGTCTTCACTTGAGGAAGCTGGTTTCGGACTTTTCTCTACATGTGCTGGATGTTTTGATGGATCAGGCTGCTTCTGATGCTCCTTTGCAGTGGTGCTTTCCTCCCCTTCTCCCATCCACGAGCGCCTGCTGTGCCCTGAAAGCCCCAGGTCCTGCTTTGCCTCAGGTTCTTGGTTCCTTTTTGGTGCAGGATCAGCCCCAGAATGCTCAGCCACAACGCTGTGCTTCTGCACATTGTGCTCAAACAGGGTGGCCCGGACAGTTTTAATGAAGGGCTTTTCCAGAAGAGCTGGGTTTAATTTCTTTTCAAAGCTGCTTGTGAATGAGACAGAACTCTCAGTCTGCTGTGAGAAATGCTGACCATCTCCCAGGAAGCTCCCTTTCCTCTCCAGCTGATCAGGTTTATTGGTTATCTTTAAAACCTGACGGGATTTCCAAGGTTTCCCAGGAGCAAACGCCTCGGTGAAATCTGTGCCATGGGTGAGCTTCAGCTCCTTGCTCTGGAACAACAAAATCCAACAGTTATCTTCAGTTTATTTTAAAAATAACATTTATTTTAAAACTTACTTGCACCTACTTTGTGCAACAGAGCTTGTACAAGTCAAACACATCCACATTGTCTGAACACAAACCCCACTGAGACCAAGGTAACCTAAGGAAATGTGTAGCTCCAGCTCCTGAATCCTGATTTTTACAGAATTATCTCACTAATAACCAGCAACATGGTCAAACTGCAAAGAACACGAAGATCTGAGTAAATATCACAGCTGGAGATGCTCATCTATGAGAAATGTTAAGATGAGGCGAAGAAAAAAAGGAAAAATGGAAATTAATATTTATTACCAATGCTTGACTATTATCTACTCACAGGAAATACAAGCAGCATCCTAAAAGATGGTATTTTTAATAGCACTTGCTGAAAAAGCACAGCATGTAAATAATAAAGGGAACCAGAACACTAGAGGTCTTACAGGAGTTCAATCTTTTATTCAAGTCTTAAAATTTAAAATTTAAATTCCCTCAGGAGTTGACTTAAGATTGTCTTAAAAAAAACTAAAGAACATCAGAAAATGAATATTAAATGTATTTATAAATGAAGATTTTAAAGTCTGAACTATATTCTTCAGGAAATTTCTTTAATCCTACTTTATTGTCAGATTCTGAAAACAGCACTTCCATTAATGAAAGATTTTCCTTTTAAAACAAATTACTCTCTTTGAAAATAACACTAAACTACAGAAACTTTGCACCTGTAGCTTTTCCTTACCACATATTCCTATCTTGGACAGGAAAAAAGCCATAAGAACTCATTACAAATGCCCTTAAACTGCATTAAATCTCCTCTACCAAGAACTGTCACCAGAGAAATTCTGTTTTGCAACACTGAAGTGTTGCTTAGAAACAGAGAGAGCCTAAAGCTTCCACAGCAAATCCCCATTTTCCCTGGAACACTTTGTTGTCTGAACTGCTCAGGTAAATGTTGTTGAGGAGCCTGACCAAGGTCCAGGCTGGGATTTATCAGGAGCTGGGAAATGGATGCAGGAAAGCACAATCTTAATGCTCTGCTTGGAGAAAATAAAGAATAATCACTGTAGCAGAAACCCACCACAGCCACAGGCAGTTCACTGGGGTTTCATGCATCAGAAATCCCTTAAAAACAGAGCACAAAATATTCTTCCCTCTCTACCACTCTTACACTGAGTAGTGTGCACACAGAGCTGCACAAACTCAGCTGACACAACACTCCTGAACTTTTCTCTGCACATCCTAAAGACAAACTCACACCAGCAAATCCACTGGGGTTGTGTCAGCCCTAATAATCCCCATACCCATTAAAAAGGCACTGGTCGATAAAGCCACACACAACAGGACCTTGCAGAGCCAGCTGCTGCCAGTTCCTTACTTTTGGATTTTCCTGCAGGTCATGGATCGAGTCAGCTCCAGCCTCCCCAGGTTTCTCAGACTTTGCTTCACCCCCTGATGTTGGACTTGAAAACCTAAAACAAAGAACTGGTGTTATTTCTTTAGTCCAGCTGGTCAATGAGCAGGGTGGCTTCCTACCAAAGCAGGCTGGTAGAAATTATCCATCAAATTACATTTCCCAAAGGAGAAATATCACTATTTCATAGTAAATGACTGTATTTGGTGGTTAAATTGTATCTAGACCAAAGGAATTTCCAAAACATTAACATATCATTAATTAATATAACAATTTTAATTATTGTTAATATAAATAATATTGTTAATTATGCATCTTAATTGATAATAGAGGATTTATAACAGAGGATAATCAATTGATAATAGAGGATTTAGATATGCATAACAAGCTAGAATATCTCTCATTGACTGTTACAGTGACATGCAAAGGTCACAGTATTGACAGCTTCATTTTTTTCAGCTGCTGTCAGAATATATTTAATTTTCTCTTTTTTGGATTAAAGATGGCAGGAAAGAAGCTTAAGAATAATACTAAAAAAATCACATTAAGTGGAAGCAAAATGATCAAGCTTTTTTTACTGGACTGAGAGAGCAAGTTTTACTGAACAACAAGAAGCCAAGAGGATTAAAGAGAATTTCTCTGTAACCTACATCTTGGTTAAGTCCGCAGAGAGCGGCCGTGACTGCAGCGAGCGGCGCAGATTTCCTCCCTTAACCTCAGGATTTTCTGTCGTCAGCTCCCTGATCCTCTGCTGGATGGTCACACACCTGTTCTCCTTCTCTGGGAGAAGCTCTGGATCCACTGTGGCACTGGGATTTTCAGAAGTAAACAAACTGATGTGTTTTTTAACACTACCTCTTAAGATATTATTCTCTTTTTCTGAGGAAGCTGCAGGAATCTCACAGCCCAGGAACGTGTATGTTTCCTTCTGATCTGCTCTTTTCCCCCCTTTATTAGTTCTGTTTTCACTGGTTGTTTCAGGGCTTCTTTCAGGACCATGCAAGTTAATAATTATTTCTGGTTTTGTCTCAATTTGTTCACTTTTAGATTTAAGTTTACTTTCCCATGTGTATTTCCCATTATTCAGGATGCCAATGTCCTGACTACTGCATTTCAGATTTGTTTTAGAAGAACTGCTTTTATTCAATTCAGTTTCTTCATGTTTTGGCCCCGTTTCAGACTGATCATGACTACCCACATCAGTAAAAGCAATTATGGACACATTCTCCTTGCTTTCATGGGATGAACCAGCCTTCTTGCAAGAAGAAAGATCTTTATGTTCAAATTTAGCTGTCAGGTCCATGGACAAAGGCCTTGGTTTCCTAACCCCAGATTTCTCTGTAGGGGATTTTTCCTCAGAAGTTTCCACAGCGTGATGCTTTTGATCTCGTAATGATTCCAGAAAAATAGCAGACACTGGTCTATGCTTTGCCCTTTGCTGGGCATCCACAGAGAAATCAACTTTATTGTTGAGTTTATTTACATCATCATTGCTCTTCTCCCCTGGATGAACTTCACGAGCGTCTTTCTTTTCACTGGTTTTCAGGGAGTTCCAGGATTCAGGTCTGAGAGTGGAGGAGAATGACATGTGCCTATGGAGAGCTCCATCAGGATTCCTGGGAGGCTCTGCTGGTTTCACAGAGCCCTGCAGGTCCTTGCTTTGCAGAGCAGAGAATCCCCTGCGCTCCTGAGCCCTTTTCTCCTGGACCGTGGTCTGCTCAGGGCCCCCTGGCTCAAACAGAATGACTGTGTTGGCACTGGGCCCTGTGTAGAAAGTCACATTTGTCACCATGTCACTGCCAGCCTGATTTTCAGTGTCAATGGCTTTCTGATCCACTAAGGGAGGGACATTTCCACTCAACACCTTCACAGAGGACGTTTCCTCAGTGGCCTTCCTCACCATGCTGCTGGACCTGAACGCTGGGACGGGCGGTTTGACGTTTGCAAAAGTATCCGAGGATTTCTCTTTGCAAAAAGGCTTTGGGAAAAGTCTGGGCCTTGATCCCAGAGAGGGCATGGTTGCAGATCTCAAGGAATTCCCAAATTTCTTGTTCTCTTCCAGAGTCAGGGATGCTGAGGCCTCCTTTGCCTTGTTGCTGGCATCTGAAAGCACACTGACATACACACGCTGCGCCTTCTCCTCAGCCCTGAGCTCAGCTAGGTCAGGGACTGCCGTCAAAGACGCCAAAGTAGAATTTATTTCTACTCTTGTTGCCATAGTTGGAATTACACATTCAACAGAAGTGAAAAACTCCAGCAAGGAAAGAGAATCTGCAAAAAAAAAAAAAAAAAAAAAGAAGGAGAAAAATGCAAGTATTGATGTAGAGTCAGCATGAACATCAAATAACATCATTCTCACATAAATTCACAAGGAAGCAAACTCAGATTAAGGTGCCTTTCAGATATGCTGATCACAGAGTTTATCACACTGAAAGACATAGTGTTCCTTCTCTAAAAAGCAAGAAACACCATTATTTACTGACTTGGCCCAACAACCAAATATAACGGAAATAAACATATCCTACAAATTTCCACGCTCCCACTTACCATAATTTCCTGCTGCAACCAATCCATAGGGCCTGAATTCTTTCTCATAGTGACAACAAAAACTTGGTCACCAAGGGCACATTAAGGACAGGGAATGTGATCACTCCAGAGACACTGCCCAGACCTCACCTGCAAATAAACAAAATAATCCAATTCAGGTGTGGCACACACCCAGACAATGCCAGGTGGGACAAAAATCCAGAGCATTCTAAGGAGAAAAAGCTGGTTCCCAAGCAAAAGTGACCTCATGCAACTGTAAAAAGCAGAAGAATGTTTATTTTTCAAACAGCCATTAAAAAAATCAACAAGAAATTACCAATTAAAGGTATAACTGAAAGGTGAAGGGGGAATAACTCAGCACAACAGACACACCAAATCTGAGCTGTTAAAACCACATTCAGGTAAGACTGTTTGCATATTCAACTGCTGTCAATCACTGGTTAAACACAGAGCTTTGCATTATTGTAATCTCAATTACTGTAATTTACTTTCTATTGTAAAGCTCTTTTCTGGGGCAGCAGTCTGTGAAGTGCTACCTGAGCAGCTGACCTGCAAACGCCTGATTTTCCATCAAAATGGAACTTTTACCATGACAAAGCAGTTCTGTACCTCGCCAGCAAAGGCAGGAGAAGAGCTTTGGCTTTAATTATATTCTTACTGCAGAGAAGTGGGAAAACCAGCAGTAATTAGAATTTCAGCTACAAGAAGTAACCTGAATCCTTCCTAACAGAAGTATATTTAAACTCGTAGCAGATGCAGGCAGCTATGTAAGGTTAGATTATTTTTTTCCTTCAAAAGCTGTCATACTCTTCATTTTTAGAAAACTCACACTGTACTTCATAACCAGGGGCCCAAATTTGTGTTGCCACCCTGTTGTCTCTTCTGGGCAGCTTTTGAAAGGGCAGTTTTGGACTCCTCTCACTGGAGCCTATATTTGTGCGAATTTACCACACAAATAAACTTATTTGTAGATTCTGTGGAATATGGAGCTTCCTGCTTGTGATTATTAAAAAAAAAAAAACCAACCAGGATTTTCAGGATCTTGCTTTCCTGAGCCTGCAGTCTGGAGAAGTGGTTATTTCACCTTCAGCTTCCCTTGACCAGACTTAGCCCACACTGGCACTGAAGTTGCAGGGATTTATTTCTGTCCCTGCTTGTGCTCCCTCTCTGAGGCAGGAGAATGAACTCCACTCACCTTGCCCGTTCCCTTTCATCTTCCAATCCACTTGGAGTTCTGTCTCAACCACTTATCCCTGATGCCATCCCCCTCCTCCCCAGTCCACCACCTCGTCCTTCCAAAATAGCCACTAACCCAATCAGCTTATCCACATCAAGCTGCCCCTTCCACCATCTCACAGATCTCCATGAAATCTTCCTCCCTCTCTCCCACTCCTTGCTCTAAGAAACGCCACCAAAATCCGATTAAAATGCTCTCACATTCCAAGGATGCAAAGGTTTGGGAGGTGCTGTAAAAGGAAACTTGCTGGAATGAGGCTGAAGCTCACAGGCAACATTGCAAAGGGAAAAATTCAGCTGTGAAAATAGCATCGGTCTTGCAGTAGCTGAGAATAAATTCTCTCCTATCATTCTGTAGTCCCTGTTTCTCTGGAAAAGAAGAAGGGGGCACAGAGCTTCTTAAATGGACTAAAACTTGATCCTCAATGGAACGCAGGGCAGTGAATTTACAATGTGGGACCTAATCCCTGGTAACAGAGTACAACTTGCTTCTCCAGCAAATATTCCTAACACAAAATTCACCCCTTCCTCAGTTTCATTATACTCCAGCTTTACAGGTCTCCATTTTCCCCTACATAATCTACCCAAGTGAGTTTTCACGTTTTAAATTCAGATACCGTACAACAGACACATGGGCCCAAAGAGACAAGTGTTGGAAAAATAACAAAAATTTAGTGGAAAAAATAATCACCCAACTTTGAAAATGATAAAGCTCCTTGATACAATTACACTTGATAAAGAGGAATCATGCCATCAATGCCAAGTGTAACATACACTAGACACTGTGTCTCAGTTTTGAAACATATCTTGTTTTAGATAAACCTGCTTCTTTCTTAATAAAACACCTCTAGTCCAGTTGGCAACGTACAAAATTTGGGGCAATTTATAAAGATCAACTGTAAATTGTACTGCAGGAGGATTTCAGATGCTATTAATATTTAGTAATTCTACTGTAATCGTACTACTACACTTGTAAATCCCTCACCATCAGCTACATCATGTCATTGCCTCCCTGACCTCAGTCGAGCTGCCCATGCTGCTCCTGCATGTCCCCATCCTGTGTGGCAGAGCCTCAAAGCCACCTTGTCCCCATTTTTGGGCACCTTGTTCCCATTTCTGAGCACTTTATCCCCATTTCTGGGCACTGTTTCTCTCCGTGCCTCCCAAGCAGTGCCCACGCTCCCCTTGGCTGTGGCAGGCGCATTCTGCACACAAATGAAATTATAAATGGCACTCAAGTGTCTCTTGAAATCCTCCTGCTTTTATCAGAAAAGCTGGCATGTGAAGGCCTGGCTCTTCCCTGCTGCTCCTCTTCCTCAGCTTCCAAACACCTGTGACTGAGATTTTTTTATTATTTTTCCTGGGCCAAGCTGAGCCACCACAGGGTGTCACAGAGATGCAAAATGCAAACACTGCTCCAGGCCCCTTCAAATCTTAATGCCCTCAGGTATTGCCTGCATTTTTAATTAAAAATCATTACAAAAATTGCCAACAATTTCTCTGTAAGAAATCAAAATTGGATTATTCACTTCACAGGGTTATTTTTGCAGAAGATCGTTCGGGAAGGGCTTCACCCCAAACACGCCCTCGCTTTGGCACTTGCCCACCCACCACACACACACACAACTATTATTTACATCACTGCTAATTCCTTTAAGCCTATTATGGCAACAGCAACAGCCTGCAGATAATTTTTCCACCATGAATCACGTGACTGTTGCCAACTTCCTCACTCGGAAACAAGAATGTTTTAAATGACACAAAGCAAAATTATCTATAATCTGGCCCTGAACCTCGCAGCAGATAAACAAGTCCATCTGTCTTCTCTAAGGGTGGAAAGCATAAAAATTCCACTAAGAAAATGTCTCTGCTATTAAAAAACCCAAACAAACAAAAAACAAAACCAAATATGTTTATGACATGGAGATCAAGCAGCAAGCCTGGCTCCAGCAGCAAATACCCACTAAAAATACTCCATAGAAAATTACCTAATAAACAAACTTTTTCTTCTTTATATACAACTTTATCAGCAAATCTGCTTCCAGTATAAAAAATTTACTCCCTTATTGTGTAGATACACAAAGAATTTTGTATAACAACATATATTAGCAGCTCCTGAAGACATGGCTTTGTCCATGACTGGGAGGTTGGGACTGGATGATCTCTAAAGACTCTTCCACCCCAAACCAGTCTGGGATTCCATGATTCTGTGCATTCCCCAAGCCACAGGAGCTACTGGGAGCAATGACCACAAACCAAGGTTTATTTCATCCCTTCTACAAAAGTTGCCCCACTGTCTAAAATGATTCAGTCTTTATGAACGTTTTTCTTCTCTCCTTTCTCCTTCCTGTCCTCACTGTCCGAACCCTGGGGTCAGTCTGCAGCAATCCCTGTCTGTTCTCCATAGAAATCCTCCTTCTGCTGCTTCCTGCACTTGGAGAGGTGCTGATTGGATTAAATAAGAATTAACAGAGCAGATCCTATCACTTACTGTGCACGTACCAGTGTGAGTGATGACAAGAATATAACTTACTACAGTGCAACAAAAATAACACAAAAAACCTTATTCTGAAACTTTCATAACCAAGTAGATCATGAAACTAATTCAGTAAAAAGCAGGCTTTTTCTATTTTTGGGTTTAAGCCTGATTCAGGTTATTATTCACTGAAGTGGGATCCATCAGTAGTATTTAAGAGGACATTCAGGGTCTCTTAAAGGGAGAGATTATCAAAAATACTTTCATAATGGCTCTAGTTTTTAATCTGCCTGCCTAAGTTTATTCACAAAGTAAAACCAGCTAATAAAATGCATTTAAATTATATTTTCCCAGATTCACAGTCACTCAGTTCTGCTTCTCAATAATGAAAACTAGAAGGCTGAGAATTAAAACTACATATTCCAAATCTCACAAGCCAGATAGATCTGCAAAGCCCCACAGACCACTGATATTAGAATTCCAAAGTATTGCAAAATTCAAAATATCCTTCCTCCATTTCCCATGTTCAAGTCTTTTGGAAACTTCTAGTTCTCTTTTACAAAAAGAACTAAGTGCTGCTCTTTTGGACATTCCAGTCCAGTCCCAACCCAAGGATGAAAGACTCCACTCTGACATTTCCTCCCACTGCAGAAAAGATTAGCATTTTGTTAAATAAAGTGTCCATCCTATAAATAGCAGCATTTACAAGCACTTGTAAATCTCTAATTGCTCCTGCCAGTACAATTGCATAACGATCATCACCTGCCAGAGCTTCACCCCCATGCAGCTGCACTAAGAGCTGCAACATTTCCAACTATTCTTTCCATTAAGTGCTGCCATCTCAATCCCACGGTGAGAACTTTACACCTTGCATTTTAATCTCCATGCTGCAAAGATTGGTTAAAATTGTAACAAGTTATAGAATAGCAGTTTCAGAAATTCAAGCTGGCCCCATAGAGGCTGTAATAGTTATTCAGTAAAGCAAAAATTCGATGTTAAATACATTGGAATGGTCAGTATGAATTTAAATCACATTCCTGATGTAGCAGGACAATCAGCTGAGACAGGGAATCAGGAAAATACAGTGAGGGTGGAAAGGCCCTGGCACAGGTTGCTCCATCCCTAGAAGTGTCCAAGGCCAGGTTGGACACAGCTTGGAACACCCTGGGCTAGTGGAAGCTGTCCCTGACCCTCCCAACATAAACCAGTTTGGGATTCTGTGATTAATTTATGGTAGAGCAGCATTCAACAGCAAAATGCTGCTGTGTGTAACCAGGACAGAATGCATCATGATGGCTGTGGGGCACAGGGAGTCATCCTCCAAATTTCCTTGAATTTATGAGACAGATGTGTCTGGAGAGAATGATGTGGGTAAAAAAATTACATGTAATAATCTGCTTCCACAGCTGTCA